CTCCCCGGCCGGCTCGCCTCCCTCCTCCCTCTCCCCACCCTCGCCTCCCCCTCGCCGTCCCCTCCTTCCTCGGGACGCCTCCTCCCGGAATCGCCTTTTTTTTTTTTTTTTTTGTTTTGAGCTGGCTTCTCGCAGGAGGCTCGCCCGGGCTGCGGGTGCCAGGAAGACAGGCTGGGGGCGCAGCCCACCGCCCCCCGCCGGGCCCAGCGGGGCAGAGCCCAGGACGCGGGACTGAGGACCGGCGCGCCATCTGCTCGCCGAGCTCACTCTGCAAACTCCTGTTGAGTGTGTGCGCGCACGCGAGGGGTGGGGGTCTGCACGCCCCGCGCCGCGGGGACCGGTTACCGCGGGGGTTACCTTGGGGCGGGGAGCCTTGGACGCTGATCGGGGTCAGCTTCAGGCTTAGAAACATTTGTGGAATTAGGCAAACAAAAGAGGCCACTCAGCTAGTGGCCAGAAGTCGCCTGAGCGCCGCCGGCGGCGCCCCCTCCTTCCCGGGGTGGGGGCCGCTGCTTGGGGGTGGGGACGGTGGGGGAGCGGGCGACTGAGCCTGTTGGGGACCTGGCCAGGCCAACTCTTCCCCGGGGTCGAAGAGTTGGTGGCCTGTTGTGTAAGCCTCGGTCCTTGTTTTCCCGGCCTGGCTCGTTGTGAAGCCGGACACATCCACCCTTGGAATCGATTCAGGAGGCTGCTGTTTTTCTTTTTGCCCCTCTTGAATTTTCTGGATTTGGGAGAACCCCGGAGCCCAGAGGAGGAGGAGGAAGGAGGAAGGAGCTGCTCTGCGGAGGAATGTGAGTGCCTCCCGAGGCCGGATAGCCAGAAGCCAGAACTGCCTGATTTCTGGAAGGTGGTTTCCGAGTGATTTCTTCTATTTTAGAACATTGTTCCATTGGAAAGCGTGGAAGTCTTGCGCGCTCCGTGCTCGTTTCTCCGAGTCACCTCACTTTTCTTCTGAGAGTGCTTGGAGGAGAGCCTCGGCCGACTCCCTTTGCAGGACCTGCCAAGGGGAGGACTATGGACATGATTCCTCCCCGTTCATGGGCCAGTGCAGGGAGGCCTGGTAGGGCAGTTTCTGGGTCACAGACATTGCATTGAAGTCAGGGAGGCTGGACAGCATCTGTGGGTGCTGAGACCCCACGACTGGGCCGCTGCTGTGCCAAGCTTCCGATGGTAGTGCGGTCTTGGACACCCTTGTGAAGGTCTGGTTCTGGAAGGACCCTCTCCATCTCTACCCCTCCCGTGCAGTGTCCAGCCATGGCGCTGAAAGGCCGAGCCCTCTATGATTTCCGCAGTGAGAACAAGGAGGAGATCAGCATCCAGCAGGACGAGGACTTGGTCATCTTCAGCGAGACTCCCTTGGATGGCTGGCTACAAGGCCAAAACAGCCGAGGGGAGACGGGGCTCTTCCCTGCTTCCTACGTCGAGATCATCCGCTCCAGCACCAGCACCAGCTATGCCGACTACTGCAGCAGCCCTGCCGGCTCTCTGGGCCCCCAGGTGAACTTGTATGACAGCCCCAATGTGACCAGCCACTCCAGGGGTGGTGGGGGCGGTGGCTTCCTTTCAAATCAGGGCAGCTTTGAGGAGGACGATGATGATGACTGGGATGACTGGGATGACGGATGCACAGTGGTGGAAGAGCCACGGGCTGGTGGGTTGGGCACCAATGGGCACCCCCCACTCAATCTCTCCTACCCGGGTGCCTATCCCAGCCAGCACATGGCCTTCCGGCCCAAGCCCCCCCTGGAGCGCCAGGACAGCTTGGCCTCTGCCAAGCGAGGCAGTGTGGTGGGGCGCAACCTCAACCGCTTCTCATGCTTTGTGCGCTCTGGAGTGGAGGCCTTCATCCTTGGGGATGTACCCATGATGGCCAAGATCGCGGAGACGTACTCTATCGAAATGGGCCCTCGTGGACCCCAGTGGAAGGCAAACCCTCACCCATTTGCTTGCTCAGTGGAGGATCCTACCAAGCAGACCAAATTCAAGGGCATCAAGAGCTACATCTCCTATAAGCTCACTCCTACCCATGCTGGCTCGCCTGTCTACCGGCGCTACAAACACTTTGATTGGCTTTATAACCGCCTGCTGCACAAGTTCACGGTCATCTCGGTGCCCCACCTGCCAGAGAAGCAGGCCACCGGCCGTTTCGAGGAGGACTTCATTGAGAAACGGAAACGGCGGCTCATCCTCTGGATGGATCATATGACCAGCCACCCCGTGCTGTCCCAGTATGAGGGCTTCCAGCATTTCCTCAGTTGCCTGGACGACAAGCAGTGGAAGATGGGCAAACGCCGGGCAGAGAAGGACGAGATGGTGGGTGCCAGCTTCCTGCTCACCTTCCAGATCCCCACGGAGCACCAGGACCTACAGGATGTGGAAGACCGGGTGGATACCTTCAAGGCCTTCAGCAAGAAAATGGATGACAGCGTCCTGCAGCTTAGCACTGTAGCGTCGGAGCTGGTACGCAAGCATGTGGGGGGCTTCCGCAAGGAATTCCAGAAGTTGGGCAATGCCTTCCAGGCCATCAGTCATTCCTTCCAGATGGACCCTCCCTTTAGCTCTGAGGCCCTCAACAGCGCCATTTCTCACACGGGCCGTACCTATGAAGCCGTCGGTGAGATGTTTGCTGAGCAACCCAAGAATGACCTCTTCCAGATGCTCGACACACTGTCTCTCTACCAGGGCCTGCTCTCCAATTTCCCTGACATCATCCACCTGCAGAAAGGTAAGCCCCAGTGCAGCAAGAGACCCTCACTGAGGTTGCTACTTTGCAGAGCCCTGGGGGTCTGAGGATGGTCAAGCAGCTCATCTGGCCTTCCCATCTGTTTCATTCATTCATTCACCATGTGTGTTGAGCACCTGCCACATGGCAGGTGCTGTTCTAGATGGACAGAGTCCATGGGGACAGGTCTGGCTCCTGTCCTCACGGGGCTCGCCATTTATTGATTGTCATTTGTTTATTCACTCACTCTGTTTCGGTCTCATGTGCTCATAATGGGTAACCATTATGCGTCGAGCCCTTCAAGCGTAAGACTGTGCCTGGGAACTGGGAAGGACAGGGCCAGTCCTCACCCTGAGGAGCCCCAGGTCCCTGGGGGCACACACAGACCCAGATAGTAAGCACAGAGTGTGGCCGTCCTCCCACTCCTCACCAGCTCCTTGTCCTGGCTTTGCAGCTTTAGTGCCTGTTCTCACACTGTGCGTTCTCTGTGAGCGCCTGTCTGTGTGCAGGGGGTGGTTGTCCCCATTTTGCAGATGGAGGAGCTGATGTCCACAGGCGCGTGGCTGCACAGGGAGTTGGTGGCCCGCCTGTGATTGTCCCTCCCATGTCTCCCCAAGGACGTGTCCGTGTTGGCTGCCTCCCAAGACCAGCCCTGTTTTTAGTTCTCATGGCCCTTTCTGTGGGGGGAGGGACAGGATGGGCCCCTGCCTGTTACTGTCAAGGAACTGCCAGGGAAGTGACTCATCCCGGGTCATCTAGGGGTCCGGGGAGGCACCAGGGGTCCAGAGCATGACCCAAATGGCCCATCCAACTCCCAGTCCCCAAGCCTGACTCTCTTCTTGCCTGGGCAGAGTGAGTCAGAGCCTAACCAGGCAGGTGGTTGAGTCCTGGGACAACGAGGAGGGCAGAGAGGAGGGCAGATGTCAGGAGAAAGGTGTGGTCCTCCCCGGGGCTGCTTGGTAACTCAGGAAGAACGTCTGCAGGGTGTGGGGCTGGCTCCCTGGCCCCTAGGCCCTGAGGTCAGGCCTGGCTTGGTGGGGAGTTTTTCTCAGGGTGGGGCCAAGAAGCAGGCCTCTAGACTGAGCCTGGGGGACAGCAATTACCACCCTTACCCCAGCACCCAGGGGAGTCTGGAGTAACCAGCCCGAAAGGTTAACTTCTAGAACATCTCCAGTTCCTACTCTCCTCACTTTCTCCTCCTCCTCATCTCTGCCTACATTCCTCTCTTCCCCTTTCCCTGTTCTTTCAGCTCCAGGATAACAGAGGTTCAAGTTCTAGTCTAGTCTCTACCCGCAGTTTGCTGTATGTCCCTGGGAAATGACTTGCCCTTTCTCTGAGCCTGCAAACTTTCTCTGAGGCCTACTACGCTCTTAGGCCTTAGGGGGTAGGAGAGTGACCTGGGGAAGGTCTGGCTGTGGACACTGAGTTCTGGGGCAGGGACAGGCGGGGCGGTGCTAAAGGTTGGCTGGCATCCACTGGGGCAGGTGTCTCCCGGTGCGGAAGTGAAGCCACGTGCACTGCTAGGGCCCGGGAAAGCTGGTTCAACCAGCTCCTTGGATGGTATGTCCTGTGTGGGCAGTGGGAGGAGGGAAGCAGGGGGTGCAGGGCCTCTGCAGGGCCTGGGACCCTCACCTGTGGCAGAGCTGGGAGTAGAAAGACCTAGACCGAGAACTCCCAGGCTCCCAGGGAGCAGGGAGCAAAGCTGGCTGACCTTTCTGACTGTGAGGCAGAGACTGTTGAGGGAAGTCATTCAGGGTCTCCACCGGAGACCCTTCTAAACGAGGAGCCAGCAGCCCTTTGGGGCACGTGCCCATCAGGCCTACTACCTTCCTTCACTCGGCCCCTCCCCAATAGGTCAAGACCTTGTGGCTTCCTCTCTCTGGCTCTGAACTCCCATTGCCACTCCCAGGCCTGTTGTCAGTGAGCTAGGGAAGGGTCTTGAAATTTGGCCGAGACAGAATTGGTCAGGTGTTAGGGGACCACAGGTGTTAGGGGGTGGTGGTGGTCCATGCTGGTCCTGTGAATGGAAGAGGGAACTGGGAGGTTGGGGCCTTGTTTGCTAGGATTCTGTTTAGCATGTCAGGACATCTGGAGGATGGGGAGTGTGGGGCAGGCCATGGAAGGAAGGAGATGGAGCTAGATGGGGCAGGAGACCACCATCTGACACTACCACCAAGGTGACCTTGAGAGAGCTTTTCCTCCTCAGTCTCCATGTTAGCGTAATGGGCTGGCTGGCGCTGAGAGGAGCCCACCAGCTTGTCCATCCACTTGCCGAGACCCTGGAGCTCAGCCAAGGGCACTCTGCGAGGGCAACCATATAATTAGCCAGGTCCGAACCGGGAGGTTTGGGGCATGAAAGGGGGCCCTAGTAATAGTTACTTTCAAGAGCAAACAGTGACTGTCCAGGGCCCCTGTGTGAAAGCCAACCAGGGCAGGTCTCTGGGGAGGTCGGTGAGGGCTCCTCCAGTTTATGGATGAGGTTCAGGGAGGGGGATGATACAAAGAGCAGGAACTGGAGCCAGGTGTATCTGAGGCTCCCACTCAGGCTGTTCTCCCCATGCCAGACAGATGGAGAAGGAGCTCCCTTGGGTGGATGACTGGGGCAGCTGGGCCTCAAGGGAGAGGGGGAGGGACAGCTCGCTGCTCCAGTGCTAATCAGGAGACATCCTGGGGGGGGCCGGTGGAGGCAGGCCCTGTACCACAGAGCTGGCCTGGTGGGCCGTGGGCACAAAGGCTGGCCAAGACCAAGTGGCCCCAGCAGGACCAAGCTCTTTTCTGGGGGACGGTGCGTGGAGCCTGTGAGCTGAACCCTCATCTAGCCCTCCCTCTGCCTCTCCTCCTAGGCTTGCAAAAGAGCATCAGCGCCTTGAAGCTAGCAGCTTCTTGGTGTAAAACAGGCTGTACAAGCTGCACCTAGCACCTTAGGTCGGCCACCCTGAGGACTTTGGACCTATCAGTTCACTTAAACCCCCGCCCCACTTCTGGGCTGGCACAACTGTCATCCCATTTTCCAGATGTGGAAACTGAACCACGACTGCTGTGAGCAGTTGTTAGCGGTGCCATACCTAGTCCTTCCTGCCCATTGGACAGTAAGACCACCTGCAGCCCAGGCCGGAGCAGTGGGTTGTCAGAGGTGACACAGATGAGACCAGGACTCAGCTGGCCCCGGCCGCTCAATGGTGGGAGCTTAAGGAATTTGCCAGGGGTCCTGGCACTGAAACTCCAGCCCTTTCCTGTTCCTCCCCAGCCGACAGATCTACCCTGGATATTTAGCTCTCAGTTTGAGTCTTAAGTGGCGTAGGGGGATACTGACTAGGCCTGAGCCCTGTCTCCCAGGGCTCAGGATGTGTTTGCCGATCCTGACCCCAGCTCTGAGTCACAGGGCGGGGCCCTTGCCCCCCTCACCCCTATGTCCTTTGTTCTCCATCCCTAGCTCCCTGCTTGTATGTAGCTATCACCATAGGTCAGTTCCTATTATTTAGTCCTCAGTTTCCTCATCTACAAAAGGGGCCTTTCTTTCCTCCAAGAGCATGGATAAGAAAAGTCCTCTAGAGTCTCACTTGGACTTTCTCTGGCAGGTGGGACCCAGGTGAGTCAGTGTCTGCCTTGGGCAGGTTTCTTTTGCTGCAGTTTAACTCCAGTTTCTCTGTCCTGCCTGTTCTGCCTTCCTTCTCACGGGCCCTCTTACCCCTCAGGACCTCCTCAGACCCCTGAGTGTGGATCTGGCATGTGCTCCCTGAAATGGAAGTGGTGTCCTCTCCCTAACTGTGGACCGGGCAGTCCCTATATATGGACAGGAAGGAAGGTGGGGGCCCCTAGGGAAGTCCCTGTCCCTCTCCCTCAGAGTCTCAGTTTTTTGTTTTTTTTTTCTATACAGTAGGGGGTGGTGGGGAATTGGACAGCTGGACTCTAATAAGGTCTTTGTATTACATCTTCCCCCTGGGTCTTGGGGTTTTGCTGCCCAGGCTTGGGCGGTGGGTAAACAGGTCATTCACAGAAGGGTGGCAGAAGTACTGAGGGCTGGGAGCTCTTTTGCAGAGTTTTCTGGGTTCTGTGTGCACAGCCCTGGAGACTCTCCAAACTCTAGTCTGTCTGCAAAAAATGCCAGGCATGTGCCAACTAGTATGGGTACGAAGCCTTCTGAAGGTGTCCAGCGTGTCTCCAGCCTGTGGAACCCTGGGTCTGGCTTATTGTAAACACTCAGCCGGTGCATCTCAGGTGAAAAAACACATCTCAAAGGTCCCCGAGAGGTGGCCTCAACGGAGGAGTGGGGAGTGGCTAACAAGCCAGCAGCGGGTGCTTCTGAAGCCTTGATGGTATGCTGCCTTCACGCCAGCCTCGCCATCTTCCACTCTGATGGTGGGTGCCCTGCAGCTCTTCATGGAGTGAACGCTGGCCACAGGCAAACTGCCTCTTCCCTCCAGCTCTGTCCCACTGGCCTCAGTGCAGAGTTAAAGTGCCTCCTCATTGGGAACTGAAATCCATGATCCACCGCTTGTGGATTCACGCAGATTCATCTATTGGCCTCTCCTGTCCATGTCCATCTCTATTTCACATCTGTCGCGGCTTATTACAAGGCCTCCTCTCATCCCCTGGGGATTGGGTGAGGATGGGCAGGTCTGTAGTGTGGTTGGGGGAGACACATAAAGAAACTCCAGGTGGCCTTTGAGGGGCTGTTTTAGAATCAGCAATGTGACAGGTGTGTGTGTGTGTATGTGTGTGTGTAGAGAACCCAGGAGAGTACTATGGGGGTGCTCCAATGAAGAGGTGGGAGGCGATAATGACTGGGCCTTAAATTATGCATAAGGAGCCACTGGGCAGAGATGAGAAAGAGCGGGTGAGTTTGAGGAACACGGGGTGATTGTGCGATGGGTGTAGCTGCCAACTTCTAGCGGGCCGCGTGGGTCAGGTGGCCTCCACCTGCAGTTGCCAGGGAGTTAGAGGAGACTTGGAATTCGGGGGCCCACGTTGGCTGCTCTTCAGATACCCTGGAGACCCTGTCAGAGGTTGAGACTGAGGTAGTGAGCCCCAGGGTGGGGGGCCCGGGTTGTTGTAGCGTCTATTAAGGCAAAGGTTGAATCAGCTCCCCAGATACTTCTCACAAGCTGCTGTAGGTCTGGCCTTGTTCTGGGGATACTGCACTCCCAGCTCTGAGGGACGCAGCAGAAGAAGTATAGGGTGGTGAGAGCTCTGGAGAGGGAAACCCAGGGCATCTGGGAGCGCAGGAGACACCTATTGCAAAGAGGGGCAGGCAGGAAAGGCTTCCTGGAGGAGGTGATGTGGGAGCCAGCGTGAGGGATGATGAGGTCTGTGGTGGCAGCGAGGGGCCAGCCCTGGAAATAAGCAAAGCTCGCAGGGTTTTGTCAGGTGGGGGCTGCTGGTGGTGCCCTAGGATGGAGAGGAGATGCTACATTAGGTTTAGAATATGATGAAGATGAGAGCCTTAGGGATGTCCTGATGGAGACATCCAGATGGCTGGGCCCCTGGTTTGGGGCCCAAGAGTGAGGTCTGAGTGGAGCTGGTGAGAGTGTTGTCTGCTCTTGAGGACCATGGAGGGTTTCGGGTGCACATGGGGAGGCCAGAGCCCTGACTCCCCTGTGCTCCATTCTGCTTGTGCCAGGCGCCTTCGCCAAGGTGAAGGAGAGCCAGCGCATGAGCGACGAGGGCCGGATGGTGCAGGACGAGGCCGATGGCATTCGGAGGCGCTGCCGCGTTGTGGGCTTTGCCCTGCAGGCTGAGATGAACCACTTCCACCAGCGCCGTGAGCTCGATTTCAAGCACATGATGCAGAACTACCTGCGCCAGCAGATCCTCTTCTACCAGCGGGTGGGGCAGCAGCTGGAGAAGACCCTACGCATGTATGACAACCTCTGATCACGTGCTCCGGCCTTCCCCACCCTGGGCTGGTGGCTGCAACGCCCCCACCCACACCAGCAGTGACTGGCGGGTGGGCACGGGTGAGGGAGTCGTCTGTCCCTCCTCCTGGGAGAAGAGCTTTGCAGGAGGTATGGGTACCCCTGGGGAAGTCTCCCACCCCATAGAGGTGGGGGGGGACAGCCAGGGAGAGAAGGAGGCCGGGACCCCTGCAGGCCTGGGTACGGGCTTCCCATCGGTTGCTGAAGCCAGGCCAGGCTCTTAGCCTCTCCCAAGCCCACAGTGCTGGCTCACCTGGCCACCACCTCCATCCCCTCATTCACTCAGCAGACGTAGGGGCTGGCTGTGGCACCTGTGCAGGTGGCAGCCCGAGTCTAAGTGGGCTCAGATGCAGAAACAGACAAAGGCAGCACAGAGTGATGACGGTAAATGTGGGGTTCCTGGAAGCTGACTGAAGGGACTGGGCTAGCAGCTTGTCAGGGAAGTGACATTACAGCAGTGTCTAGGAGGATAAGGAGCTGCCGGACAGTAGATGAGGAGGACAGAAGCGAGGAGAGCACCTGCAGAGGTGTGGAGGCATTTAAATACCCCCTTTTCTCTCCCTTTCCCAAGCAACTTTGGTACCCTCTCCCTGGGGATTCTGGCCTGCTGGACACAGGGAGGGGTCCATCTGCTCCCAGGTCCCCACTCACCCCTTTCCCTGCAGGGGCACTGTGGGTCACTTCCTTCTGACTGCCCTCTGCAGCCAGCTAAGCCAGGGAGGGCACTCCGCTGCGTTTCCTTTGGGGCACTAGGTGCTGAGACAAGCCATGCCCTGGAGTACCTTCCTAGAGGGAACCCCCTAGCCCTCTTCACTTCTCCCCTTCCTCCCCCACCCCAACTACCAGATATTTGAATTCACTAAAAATAGCTCCTTACACTCCAGGCAGGCTTAGACTCCAGACTCCCGAGGGTCTGGGGTCCTTTGAAACCTGGGATCCTGCCTGTTGCCAAGTGGGAAACCCCAGGTAAGAAAGACAGGGCTCCTTCCCCCCCAACCCCTCCCCCCCACCACCACAGCCAGCCTCACTGTGATGCGAGCACCACTCCTGTCGGTGGCTGCCCATGTTTACATCCCAGGCTGGATGTGATCCCCCAGTGCGCTAGGGGGCGGTTGGCAGGTGCCATTGCTGGCTCCCCAGGAGGTCATGGCTGCTCCTGGCTGCTGCTTCTTGAATCTTTTTTCTTTCTTGTTTCCTTAATAAACCTTTTACAGTTAAGGCAACAAAGCATGGCTTTTTTGTTTGGGTCCTGGAGGGTGAGGGCGGGGGAGAGTATCCCTAGTCATCCCTGGACCTGATTCTGAGGTCATGGTAGTCACAAAATTCACTCCAGAACCGTCTGGGAGGACAGTGCCAGTGGGAGGTCCTAACTGGAGAGGCTGTGGCCATGGGCCCTGGAACCCTTTCCAGGCCTCACGTCTCACCTCTCAAATGGGTGGTGTCTGGGGTGTGATCAAGGGCTGTGGGAGCTTGAGGGAGTGATAGGAGGTTGTGGTCCAGGAGGGCCTGATTGACAGGGTTCATGTCCTGGGGAGGAGAGTCCTGGCCTTGCTGCCAAGAAAACCCTGTCTGGAGAGAGTGGGGGGAGGGGAGAGCCTCGGGCCTGGGAGCCCAGCCCTGCCTGTGGTCATGCCCTGGGGGTGCCACAGTCTGCAATCTGCAGGAGAGGAGGCTGAGGCTGGGAGGTGGGGGAGGGGCAGCGAAGGCTCCCCATTCAGGGCAGCGTCCTCAAAGGAACTTCTGGAATGGGCCCCTGGCCCTTGGTCAAAATTAGGTCAGATTTGGGACTTTCTGTGGAATTTTCCCCTCCCTTCTCCCTGCCCTCCTTCATTTTCCAAACCACCCAAAGACCTTACGTCCTTAACCTCCTCTCAACTTTGACCTCCAGTTTGCTTTCTGTGGGCCCGGAGAACAGAGAGGAGTAGGGGATCTTTTTCCTGAAGGTTGGTGGGGGTGGGAGGGGAGAGGTAGGGTGATGCTGTCTCAACCCACAGAACCTGGAAGTCCCCTGAGCTTGGGATAGCATTGCCCTCTGTTCCTTTTTTGAGTTGGGGCCACCACACCTTCCTTGCCTCCCCTCCTTAGGGGGAAGGAATCAGCCCAGTGCTTTTCTCAGGGCTGGCTTCAACCTGTGAGAAGAATCGGAAGGCGGAGTCCTGGGCTCCTCTGGGCATCCCAGGCTCTGCAGGCTGGGATGGGTATACACGTGGTGGGGAACGAGGTTGTCACAGTCCTCAGCTTTCTTTCTGGCTCTGTGCAGCTTGGGAGGTTGGGGGTGGGGATTTGAAGGGCTGGCCTGGCCAGAGCCCAGCATGGGGCTGGGGCTGGAGTGGGGGTGTCCTGGTGGTGGCAGGACCTGCTGCTGGGCACAGTCACATGCCAGGCAGATGTTCCAGTCTGAGCTGGGTCCAGCTGCCTCCAGATCCCTCCCTCACTTTGCTCTGGGGGTGGTGGTGGGGGTGGAAAACAAGGCCTCTCTTTCTGCCTCGGGCAGCTACCAGGACCCTGATCCTTAGTCCTGGCCCAACCCAGCAAAGCAGTCTGCTTTGTGGCTACATGTTGGGTTGGATGACGGCAGTCCTCAGATTCTGCACCTGGGATTTGACTAATAGGAGATGCAGGGGTCCAGGAGGCACCCAAATCCTTGGGTTCCAGCTGTTGCATAGCTGAGCCAGGCCTGGGGGAGACAGGTGTTCCCAGACCCAGCTCAGTACCCTCCATCCTGTGACACTGCCACACAGTGTCCACATGGCCACATGGCCACAGATAAGTCGCTCAACCCAACCATACAACCTGTCCACAGGCACCTTGTCCCTCCCCCCATGCCCACACACGTGTGGGTTAACTCCCAGCCACAGTGCCACAAGTCCCACATTCCCAGCCACAGCCACTCATGTCATGTGGCCAAAGTGAAGGTCTCCGCTGTGTTGTCACGCACAGGCAGGCCCTCATGCAGTGACACGCATATAGACACACATGGCTACAAAATCACACATGTACACAGTGAAGGCAAAACACACACTTAGTTGTGCCTGGACTGCACCTGACTTCCTGGGGGAGCCAGGAGAGATATCTGCTAAGTTCAATTGCTGATAGCACACACAGGCAATTTGGGGTTTAGTGAGGGGTGGCGATGGGCTACATCAGCCAGTGGGGTCAGGGGGTGATGCTTCAGGGCTGGAGCCCAGCTCCCCGCTGGCTCTGTGGCCCAGCCTTGCCCACCCCCGGCCAGTTCCTCCGGACCAGGATGCCTCTGAAGGCCCCTCACTGAACGCACCGAAACAAAGCTCCAGGCCTCTCTCATCTCTGGAGTCCGAGCCGAAGTGAGCAGAGCCAGGATGCGGCGGGCAGGGCCCAGGCCTGGGCGGGAGGAACATTCCTGCACCATCTCCTCCCCAAGCATGCAAGGACTGGGCCCGCCCTGCCTGCCTGCCCGCTGACTCAGGCCTCCAGGAGCCAAGCCCGCTAGGCTCCTCCACCCACCCCAACCTGCTTCCCCACCAGTTAGGCTGAGCACCTCACTGGCTGGGGCCAAGGAGTCGGTGAGCCCTTCGGAAAGACCGGGGAGACAAATAAAGAAAAAACTTCACCTCCCCCTGATTTAGAAGGGTGGATTGTGAAACCAGCTCTGGGGTTCGACGTAGTTGAACGCAAACCTCCTTTCCTTTGGTTTGGTTTTGTTATTAAAACCCAGTGCAATTCATTCTGTTTAAAAAGGCAGAGTCCCACACAGCTGGGGCTCATTGGTAGTTGCCATGATTCCATTTTGCAAACAAGGCTGAGCCTTGACCAGAGGGACCCCCAGGATTACGGTGAGACTGGAGCTAGGCAGGACCCAGCTTTATTCTCTTTCTCTCTCTCTCTTTTATTTTAAGATTTATTTATTTATGCATACAAGAACTAGGGTACAAGGCAGAAGTGTGTGTGTGTGTGGCGGGGGAGAGTTGTTGAGGGGATTCACTAAAGACAGAGTGGAGAACAGAACCAGCCGATTGCCTGAAATGGCTGCCGACAGCTTCACACTGCTGCGCCACCAGGGAGGGCCCCGGCAGCTTTATTTTAAAGGCACAATGATGAGCTAACCTAGGTCCTAAGGAAGAAGGGCAGACAGTTCTCACTCTGGAGGTGTGAAAGGTGGGGCTTCTGGGGAACTCCACAGTTGGGACATTTGAGACTGGCGTGAGTCCTGGCAGTCCCCCAGGATGAGGAGGCTGCTGACAGTTTTGCACTGTGGCCTTTGGGACGCAGGAGTTTTGTTTACAAATGAACACATACAAGGCTCATTCTCAATAACTGACTTTAACTTTTCTGTGCTGTCTCATTCCCACACATAGTCGGAAAGGAATTTCAACTTAATTTAGGGGGCCCTCCTGTCCCCAGGATGCATATCAGTTTTGGGGATGCACATTTGAAGACTGTAGGCAAGACCGACACTTCAAATTGTAGAAACCGACTTCCTTGCATGCATGCATTTGCCTGCACTCCACATTAGAAATCATCTGTAGGTGCCTGTTTGAGTTCACTTTGTTACTGGACAATCTCGTGTTAATATTTGAACTCTGTAAATTTTGGTTTTTGCCCTTTTGTTTGCTTTTGTCTCTTCTTTTGGTGTTCTGTTACCTTCTTGTAGGCCTCGCAGAGCTCCTGAACCCTGGCATTACCCGTGGTACCGTCATGGTCTTGGGTTAGCTTCAGGCCTCTGGTGACGTCCCACCTCCTCCCTTCCCACCGCCCGCTCCTCGCACCCCATCCTGAGATCTCTGTAGGCCTAATCCTTCCTCTGTTTTGGGTACCAAGGGCTCACCCAATTGCCCCTGCAGATTGTGGGTCCCCACACACCTGGAGGGGCTGGCAAAAGTCCCATCGGTGGTTTGTGGCCTCTGAGCTAAGTGGTTACTGTTCCACAGCTCCTGCCTCGTGCACAAATTACTCAGGGGTGGGGGGTGGGGTGCTGGGGGGGTGGGCTGCTTGTATAATAGAAACTCCTTTGTCGTCAGAGCACTTCTTTGGGACCCTCACTGGGAATGGGTCCAGGTCACATTGCTTTCAGGTCTCCCTATCTCTCTGGGGCTTCTCCCTTCCCCCCAGGCAGGCGATACCTTACGGAGACTGGATGGTGAGTATTTCACAACTAACTGGAGTGTAAGAGATTAGCAACATCATTTTACAGACGAGGAAATGGGGCCCAACTAGGGAGGTGCTGGAGTAGCCGAGGCTAACAGTAAGGTCCCCAGGCCTAGGATATCTGAACTGGGATGTTAATGGCTAATACCTGGGTAGGACTTAGAGTCTGGCTGGAATCTTCTCTGGGCTGAGCTGGCCACTTGCTGCCATTCTGGCAGGAGTGCTCTGGGCTGGAGGGTGGGGAGGGCAACATGAGGAGCCACCAGGCAGCAGTAGCCCAGTTGCTGCCCCCGTTGGCAGCAACCCCCTGGCTGCTTTGCCTCCACCACCCAGAATCAGCACCCGAGTAACTGGGCCAAGTGCAAATCCTCTCCTACACATGTGTGTTTTTGGGGTGCTTCTTAACTGCTCCATGCTTCCATTTCTCCATTTATACCAGGCGTTCCAGACAGGTGCTAAGGGGGGTTCCAGGGGTACAGCCCTTGTTTGTCCACCTGTCAGCCAGACAGTGCACATACAGTGTTTAGCCAGGTGTGCCTGGGAGGACCAGCCTGAGCAGAGCCTTAGATCAGTGCCAGGGAGAGGTAGGGCCCAGAATTCTGGTACCCTGCTTCAGAAATGAAGAAACGGACTGGAAGGGCAGTCACACAGTGGGCATATGGCAGGCCGGGCCTGGCACCAGGTCCCTGACCACCCGGGCCCTAGCCTTGCCCCATGTTGTCAACCTGTCTCTGGAAAGGGGAAAGGGTGTCCTGAATGGACTCACCAGATACAGGTTTCGTGGACTCCACCCCACCCCAGATACTGGAACTACAGATCTCATTATCATGGAAGGGAGGATGCTGGGACCTGAGGGAGGAGTTAAGCAGCCAGGTTTGATACAAAACCAGGCTTGTGGGCCTTTGGGGGGTCTCTAGGCCTCGTAGCTCCCAGCTTGTCTCTTGGCTTTTCACCAGCTTTCAGTGTGCTATTGGGGTTCCAGGTCAGCGGAACTTGTAGGACACATTGATCAACTTATCTTTCTCTTTTCTCATTTCCCTTTTCTCATTTTCTCTTGTAAATAAACCCATTATTAACTTTTGTGTGTGTGCC